CCCTTTCGGGCTTGAACTGATGGTAAAACTAAGGACATTATGTACTGTCTTTACATTTATGTTGAAAGCTGAAGCTCGGGATTATGGAAAGGGGCGTTACATTTCCGACGTATGCTTGTGGTGTTCGGCCAATCACAATGCACTGGGTCAGCTGGCCAATCAGAGAATGATCTTTAAAATAGCATCATATGACCCCTTTAAAACATGGAAGAAATGTTGTTTGATTATTACTTAAAAAAAATAAAGTTTTTTATTAGTAGTAGTATTATTAATAGCCTAGTAGTAGCAGTAATGCCACAGTGTCTTCAAGTTAAACCGAAGTTTTTTTGCCGTGAATACCTTTGCAGTTCTGTGTGTATATGACGCTAGTTTTACTCAAATGAAATGGTAAAATACTCATGAAGTGACTCTCAGAGCAGTTCTGGTGATATTGTTCGTGTATTTATGTCCTCATTTAGTGAGACGGCAGACGCTGGAATCACCGCGAGCATCAGAGCAGTTCTGGAGATGTTGTTCATGTATTTGTCCTCATTTAGAAAGACGACAGATGCTGAAATCACCGCGAGCGTCATGGGGTAAAAAAGGAACAGATATGTCCTTTTAAGGGTACTTCTCCAGTGACAAGCTGTTGTACCCCAAAAGGTGTGATTTTGGCCCCTTTTTTCCTGTATATAGCCTATACATCCACAACAATTTCTGAAACCACAGACAACCCTATTATTTCTATGGCTATCACATAAAAGGCTCTAAATTCTTAGTGTGGGGCAGTGTAAAATAATTAAAGGTTCTATCTTGTACTGCACCTTCACTTCCCTTTCCCTTTTCTTCATTTTCCCCAATATCTCTGTCTCTCCCTTTTTTTTCTTATCATATTTCTGTGATCAAAAAACGGAATTTTCAGCATCATTACTGCAGACTTCAGTAGAAGTTATTACTTTTATTTAGCAAGGATGCTTTAAATTGATCAAAAGTGATGATAAAGACATTTATAATGTTACAAAA